AAAAAAAAAAAAAAAAAGGAATAGAGTGTTTTGTTAGCTCTGGTCATTCCCACTCTTCTCTCTTGTTGCTATTACTTTGAAGCACTTGGTTTAGTTATTCTATTTTGTTAAAGAATAATTTAAAAGTACAATACTAACAGTTTTGCTTTATACAGTGTGCCTTGGGCAAAACTCGTGTGTGTGGTTATTCACAGAGAATGGGGAAGGAGGAGCCACATAGGGAGTTCAATCCATAAACTATAGAAGGCAGCAGTATCCTTTACTGCAGTGGCTTTCAAATTTGACATGCACCAAAATCTCCTGGAGAACTTGTTAAAACACAGGAAGTGGGGCCTCATCCCCCACGTTTTTGATTCAGTAGGTCTGGGTTGGGGCTCGAGAATCTGCATTTCTAACAAATTCCTAAGTGATGCTGATGCTTCTGGTTTGGAGCACATACTTTGAGAACCACTACTCTAATGGAATCAGTAGTCACAAGGCCAAGGAGCCAAGTAGACACTAAGGGAAAATAGTACCTCCCTGTGTAGCTTTTCACAACACAACATTAGGTACAAGTTTTATCACCTGCTCAAACAACCAGGTATATATATCAATCCTCAAGGGCTTTAACTGACAAAACTAGTTGTTGGAGGACAGTTCTTTCAAGGATGAACCCAACACCTAAAAACAGTTTTGAAAAAGTCAGTTATTTGCCTATTTAAGGACAGTTTTAGAATCCACTATTATGGCAATGGATCTGCTTAGCCTCTTTGGAGGTTTTTTATTTTTTGAGACAGAGTCTCACACTGTTGCCTGGGCTGGAGTGCAATGGCAAGATTTCGGCTCAGTGCAACCTCCGCCTCCTGGGTTCAAGTGATTCGCCTGCCTCAGCCTCCCGAGTAGCTGGGATTACAGGCATCTGCAACCACGCCTGGCTAATTTTTTTGCATTTTTAGTAGAGATGGGCTTTCACCATGTTGGCCAGGCTGGTCTCAAACCCTTGACCTTGTGATTCACCCACCTTGGCCTCCCAAAGTGCTGGGATTACAGGCGTAAGTAACCGTGTCCCGCCGCCTAGTGGAGTTTTAATGCCAATATCCTTGGACTAACTTGAAAATGAATAATATAAATTCGAAATTTCTGCCCGCAGTACAATTCAAAATAACAGCATCTAAATTTTTTTAATCCTTACGTTAAAATAATAAATAATCTCATTTCGGTTGTTTTTTCACTCAATTACTAAAAAACAAAAGAGTAATAAAAAAGAATTCATTTAGAAAAGGTACTATTTGTAGATGTTAGCCACTTATTAAAAACATACTTCCACTAAGACTGTTCTTACATTTAGATTTAGAACACCTGATATCTGGACCCAGCTGAGTTTTTATTTTACAGATCACAAAATGGATGAAAGTATATCACAGTAATTAATGAAGCCGTTCTAATTTAGCCTGAAGAGATTTAAAATTCCCAGTGATGGCTTGTACTGCTACTGACGAGCTCATAGACTGGAGCTCAACAAGGTAACCACAAACAGCATCCAGGCAGAGATTTGTAAATCTTCTCCTATAAAGAAAAAGACACATGATTAATTATACATTTACAAATATTTCCTCCTAAAGGACTTCTTCCCCACCAACTTCTGGCAACTTTAATTCTCACAGAAGAGGAAAGACCATGTGATTAAGTAAATAAGAAATAAAGTAAAAAAGAAAACTTAGGGGGTAGGTGGGTTCCATTTGAAGATTTTTACAATGAGAAGAAAGCAGTAAGAGATGATTCCTGCTAATACTTTTTCAAAAGAATATCCCTTAAAAGGCCAGTAATATCGCAAAGACATAATTGAAATGTTTTGGTCCTAGGTCACTAATCTAAAGCAGAAGAAACGAATAAATTATTTATGTTCAGCTGTAGAAAGAATTTAGGACAAGGACTGAAAATGGAAAAAACTCCTATTTTTCATACATGGTGATCAATATCATTCAAACAGTTATTGCTAATATACACAAGAGTTTAAATTCCCTGTACTTCTTTACAATTCCCATATCTTACCATCTTCTCTTCAAATTTTTTACCCAGGTATTTATTAGAAGCATTTAAAAGCTTTTGCTAGTCCAATATTTAATTCATAGGTACCTTTCACAATTTAAAACTTGGCTGGGATTCTCAACATATCTTGTCAATAATACATGTATACAATCCAAAAGGTGCAGTGGCTTCTTCATTCTATTCCAGAATGGATCCTATGAAGAAATATACGTAATGAAATGTGAGGCAAGTTGTGTCAATTGATTCTTTAAATCATTTATACTAAAGTAGACATCAGGGTCCATGCAAAACTTATTGCTATTAAAAAGGATTTAATATTACATGGCTACTAAATTATATATCTGATTATAGTTAATATTTCAAACAACATTAAAAACTTATTAACAACACTATGATATTACTTAAGACGAGTATTTGATATACCAATCTACTTTGCACAGCATGTAAATGTCCTGCTTAGGAATCTGACGTAAGAGAAAAATCTTTCTTTCTATGGGTTGTGACACCACTTTCACTTTGAACCTATGCAGATTTAGTCTGACATAATAAAGAGACTAAACTAGCAGTAACAGAAACTTAATTCTAGGTCTGGCTTCACCAGTTACTAGCCATGTGACTTGAGCAGGTTATTTAACATCTCTGCTCTTGTCTTTTTGCAATATAAGATGGAGATACTACAGTTACCTGCTCATCTCCATCACAGGCTAATGTTGTAAACATTGTGTGATGCTACTATAAAAGACACAATCTACTTTGAAAAGTTTTTATTTGGATCTTTTATCCTTAGCATAAAAATTGCAAAACATATAGTCTGATAAGGCTCAGCAGGGTGAGAAGGATCTTTAAGCACTGACATTTTAGATGAGGTTATAGTAAATAAATACAATGTAATCTTGTTCTTTTAAAGCAAATGATGATTCTTAATGTAATGAGTTTAGCCCACACCTTAGTTTAGCCTCTTCCACCAAGAGTAAAGCATATATGTTTATTAATATTCAAAAATAATATTTCATTTTAATCATGATATACAGGAAAGCAACTCTCATTATCAGTTTAAAAAGTCTAAAGCATAATTTCCAAGACTCTACCAAGTGTAATTAGACTAAGTGATGAGATACAAAAATACAATCAAAATACCCCACTCTATATCTACAAAGTTACTTTAAAGAAAATAATTTTATGTTATTTAATATTTTCCTTACCCGTGATTTGAACAACTGATCATAAACTTCTAGTAGTCTAGGTAATGGTACTCCAATTTCATTCATTGTCTGTATTACGAAGCCCACATCCCAGTTCAAAGAACAAACCTGCTGTTCTAAAAACTGTACAATAAAATCTGGGAAGAAAAAAAAAGGTTGGAAATTTGGATTTTTAGCTCTTGATACTAAAAGGTAGGTCTTATTCATAAGTGAGTAGTTTCTAGGGGGATATCTTCTGAAATCCAATTGCAATTTTTTGGGGCGGGGTTTTTTTTTTGCTATGTTGCCCAGACTAGAAATAGTGGCTATTCATAGGAGCAACTACAGTGTATGATAGCCTTGACCTTGAACTCCTGAGCTCAATCCTCCCACCTCATCTTCCCAAGTAAGCTGGGACTACAAGTATGCACCATCACTCTCAGCTTAAAAGGAAAAAAAATTTTTTTTTAATAAAAGTAAGATATATACCAGAATAGGCAAATCTAAAGTAGATTAGTGGCTGCCTAGGGCTGGAGGGTGTGAAGGAATGGGAAGTGACAACTAATGAGTACAGAGTTTATTTTTGGGATGACGATAATGTCCTAAAATTAAAATTACAGAACCTAGAAAATTCAAAAAGATACAAGAAGAAAACAGAGACCATTCACAATCCCAATAATGAAGAGGACTTTGCTGATAATTTTTTTTTAGTATCAGTACCTTTAAAAAATATGTTTCCTCGCACAAGTATACATAAGTAACAAACCTGCACGTTATGCACATGTACCCTAGAACTTAAAAAAAAAAAAAAAAAAAAAGTTTCCTCAATTTAACAGCTTTTCAGAAAAGGGAAACTGCATCCTGATTTCAGAAATATTAAATGTGTTTTTTAATGCCCCACCCCTAGATTTATTTGATAGTTCTAACTGTGGCCTCATTCTTACTTTTAACTGCCTGTCTTATCATAAACAGTAACAACCAAATTTATAGTTATGGCCAGGCGTGGTGGTTCACACTTGTAATCCCAGAACTTTGGGAGGCCAAGGTGGGCAGATCACCTTCGGTCAGGAGTACCAGCCTGGCCAACATGGTGAAACCCTGTCTCTATTAAAAATACAAAAAAATTAGCTAGGCGTGGCTAATTCAAGACTGGCTTGGGCAATATCATGAGATCCCCTCTCTATCAAAAGAAATATATATATATATAAAAAAAAATAAACATAGAAATCCTCCTGCCTCAGCCTGATTAGCTAGGACTATAGGCATGTGTTACCATGCCTAGCTAATCTTAATTTTTTCTGTAGAGATGGGGTCTTGGTATGCCCAGGCTGGTCTCAAACTCCAGGCTTCAAGCAATCATCCTGCCTTTGCCTCTCCAAAGTGTTGAGAATACAGGTGTGAGCCACCATGCAAAGCCCACATGATTACTTCTGAATTAAAAGGAAAATTCCTCAAAAAGAACTATGTACAATACAGTGTTATTTATTTATTGAAATGGGGTCTCACTGTGTCACTGAGGTTGGAGTGCAGTGGTGCGTTCTCAGCTCACTGCAATTTTCACCTCCCAGGCTCAAGTGATCCTCCCACCCTAGTCTTCCAAGTAGCTGGAACCACAGGTGCATGCCACCATGCCTGGATAATTTTCGTATTTTCTTTGTAGAGAGAGGGTTTTGCCATGTCGCCCAGGCTGGTCTTGAACTCCTGGGCTCCAGCGATCCGTCCACTTCGGCCTCCCAAAGTGCTAGGATTACACCTGTGAGCCACCATGCCCACCCACAATGCAGTGTTTTCTAAAACAACTATCAAAAGTATCAGTTTCACACACTTATAAACATTTACATAAAGTATGTATTTGCTCTTTTATTTCTCTTTATTTTTAGGATCAATAAAATGGTAGGGAAAGGGAATCGTTTCAATATTATACCTACAAGAAGTAAGGGTATGAATAAAATTATTTTATTTCTGACTTCTGACTATGTCTGGAGGGAATAGACCCTAAGTCAGAGATGGTCTGTAAATAAGTTTGAATGCTCATTTGAAAAAACAATCAGGCTGGGCATAGTGGTAAATGCCTGTAATCCCAGCACCTTGGGAGGCCAAGGCAAGCGGATCACCTGAGGCCAGGAGTTTGAGACCAGCCTGGACAACCTGGGGAAGCCCCATCTCTAATAAAAACACAAAAAATTAGCCAGGCATGGTGGCAGGCGCCTGTAATCCCAGCTACTTGGGAGGCTGGGCAGGAGAACTGCTTGAACCCGGAAGGTGGAAGTTGCAGTGAACCGAGATGGCATCACTCCACTCCAGCCTGGGCGACAGAGTAAGCCTCTGTCTCAAAAAAGAAAAAAAAAGTTATATTGTGAGGATTTTCATATCTCTCAATATTTTCAAATAACACAAAAGTACTTAATATTCTACTTTATGGATGTATTTATGTTGCTTCTATTGTTTTATCACTGAGGAGAACACTTGTAGGTTGGTAAATAGCTCATAATTAGCTACCTTATATAAAAATTATAGCCACCATATCTCGTTAAGAAAGGGATTCAAACACTAAGTTTTAACATAATTATTTGCTATTTTAAAGAAAAACATGTCCTCAACATAAAAAAGAACAGTTGAATCAATCACAGATTACCTATGCACAATAACATCAACCAAGTTTTTCTTTTCTCTTCAGAAACTTGTATAGGGTTACCAACAATATAATCATAGTTTGTCAGTCAGCACAATCCTAAGATAGATATATAAACTTGGAAAGTTAGTCACAGAAAGTTTCATACTCAACTCTTCATTAACAAATGCTGCCATTCTTTGGAAATCTTTCCAGATAAGTAGAATTAAACTGCTGAACTAAATAGCAACAAAGAAACTCCTTATTTTACTCAAAAGATCATTATTTGTCCATATCAATGAAGAAAACCATCAGAACAGAAAAATACATGACTGCACCTAAGATCACAGCTTACCTAAAGGAAAGAAGCGTGGTGTGCCGGCATAAATTTTGCCAAGCAGAACAATCTTGAGACTAAGAGCATGCATTCTATCCGAGGAGCTCAATGTCACACTGTCATTCAGTTCTGTAACAAAAAGACATATCATTTGAAACCCAAATTATTTTTAATGTGAAATGTTTACATTGGCTATTTAATTGTTTCAAGGTTCAAAATACTTTAGAACACACAGTCACATTAATATGATTAACAGATTTGGTGTTTCTGTTATTGTCTGAGATAGTCTCATGTCTTAATAGGTTATACCTGGTTATTAGATTCTGAGGTGAGTGTCTCAGTATCCTTTATAAGGCAGCACAAATAATATAAATTAAACAATCTTTTCACTGAGTATTCTCCCAGATATTCACTTGGGTCATTCTCTGTACGATCATCCTCCACCATACCCATGTGACTTCCACTTACTCTCTCCTTAGGTATGTACAATTTTCATGAGCCACTAGCAGCTTGCATTATATTAGTTACTAGCAGCTTGCATTCCTCCATCAAGTCACTACATAATGCTAACATACCTATAACTGAACACTTACCTTTCTCTATGATATCTTGCCAAAGTGTCTGCACCAATATAGGGTCTGAATAACCGGCACAATGAATTATTGCAAGTTTACACTCTGCAAGTTTAAATGGGTCAGCAAATTCCCCATAAAGCTGTGAGAGAAAATCCCAAAATTAAACATCCAACTAGAGGTCAACATTTAGAGATTAACAGTGAAGCACTCCTTGAAAATTAAAAAATATCCAAAGATTTTATGTAAAGTTTCTGAAATATGATATAAAGATGTGATGATGTATGTAGCTGGTTATAACTCCATATTTAAAAAGGTAAGGGTACGGGCCAGGCACGGTGACTCACGCCTGTAATCCCAGCACTTTGGAAGGCCGAGGCGGGCGGATCATGAGGTCAGGAGATTGAGACCATCCTGGCCATCATGGTGAAACGCGGTCTTTACTAAAATACAAAAAAAATAATTAGCTGGGCGTGGTGACGCAAGGCTGTAGTACCAGCTACTGAGGAGCCTAAGGCAGTTGGAGGTTGAAGTCAGCCGAGATCACGCCTTTGCACTCCAGCCTGGCAATACAGCCAAGACTCTGTTTCAAAAAAAAAAAAAAAAAGGTAAGGGTATGGTAAATACATTCAAACAGATTTTAGCATGTAGAGCTTTTTCTTGGCTGAGAAGAAGATGTTGCAACGACATTCTATTTATTTATTTAAAAATTTTAAAAGCCACTTTTTCAAATTTCTATGGGTACACAGTAGGTGTATGTATTTATGGGGTACATGAGATGTTCTGATACAATCATGCAATGAGAAATAAGCATGTCATGGAGAATGGGGTATCTATTCCTCAAGCATTTATCCTTTGAGTTACAAATAATCCAATTACATTTTCTACTTTAAAATATACAGTTATTATTGACTATAGTCACCCTATTGTGATATCAAATAGGTCTTATTCATTCTTTCTATTTTGTTTTTGTACCCATCAGCCATCTCCACCTTCCCCACAAACCCCCTGCAATGGTATTTTGGAATTAGTGTTGTATAAACAATGGGTTGAAGAATCACAGGAATACTGACAAATCTCAAGGTGTTTCAGGGTACCTGGAACTATGTCTAAGAATAAATGAAGAGGAAGGAACTGCTCAGAAAATTACAGAGCGAGAAAGAGGTTTAGAGAGTTAAGCAAAGATAAGTTAGTTTTTCCACGGCAAGAAGTGAGGCCATAAATAAGATGATTTTTATTTTTTACTTTTTTTCTTTTTGAGACAGGGTCTCACTCTGTCACTCAGGGTGGAATGCAGTAGCACCATCGAGACTCACAACAACCTGGGCCTCCTGGGCTCAATCAATCCTCCCACCTCAGTCTCCTGAGTAGCTGTAACTACAACTGCATACCACCACAACAGGCTAATTTTTTTTTTTTCAACCGAGTCTTGCTCTGTCACCCAGGCTTCTGGACTGCAGTGGTGCGATCTCAGCTCACTGCAACCTCCGCCTCCCGGGTTCAACTGATTCTCCTGCCTCAGCCTCCCAAGTAGCTGGGATTACAGGCACATGCCACCACGCCTGGCTAATTTTTGTATTTTTAGTAGAGATGGACTTCCCCCATGTTGACCAGGTGGTCTCAAACTCCTGACCTCAGGTGATCTGCCCGCCTCAACCACCCAAAGTGTTGGATTACAGGTGTGAGCCACAGTGCCGAGCCTTTTTTGGTGTTTTTTTGTAGAGATTAGGTTTCGCCATGTTGCCCAGGCTGGAAGTAAGCTGGTTTTAACACAGCTCTCGTGAGGTTGATAGGTTCTTTGTAGCTACTGGCCTGGAAAGAGTAGCTTAGACTTTTCTAGGAGTCAGATGAAACAGTGGTGATCTGTCAGCCTACTGACAAGCTGCCAAAGATGCCTTATCTTATTTGTGGAGATAAGGTAATTTTCCTCATGAAACAAAAAGCAAAATAAAAAACAAAAATTTCTCATTATTAGGTGACGACTATAAAAACTTGCTTTTTTATTACCTTAGTTATGTCCATCAGCTCAGAATCCAGCTGAGACACTGCATCCTGTACAGAAGAATGATGGGAATACTGCCTTTGTAGTGTCTCTTGTATCTGAAGTTGGATCCTAGCAACCTAGTTTGGGCAGAAAATAGGATGTCTTAATTTATTTATGATAAATCAACATACATTTGAAAGAGTGGCTCCTACTATCTGACTTTCTAAGTTTGCTAAAATAATGTATAAATGAAGATTTCCATCATAATAGGCTAACATCATCATAACAGACATCAACTAAACATAACAGATTTCACAGGAAGTGTACTGTGGCAGATCCCTTGCTGCCCACCAATATTCAAACCTTCCAAGACTGTAGCCAAATGGTTAGACTCAGCCTCCTTTGCAAGGGAGGTATGGCCATACAGCTCAGCCTCCTTTGCAAGGGAGGTATGGCCATAAAACCAAGTTCTCTTGAAAGGAATGTAAGTAGAAGTAAAGTGTGTCATGTCAGGGCTGTAGCTTTTAAGAGAGTGAATGTGTTCTTTCTTTTCCTTCCTCCCTCTGCTGAAGATAAAGCAAAAGGCCCTAGGGAATGGTAGTGCCAGAAAATAGAACTTGGGTTCCTAAATCAACCACATGAAGGAAAGCCGGCTGCCAATCAGGAAGACTAACCCTGGATTTTTGTGAATAAGAAACAAACTTTTGTGTGTGGATGATGGTATGTTTTTTATTCTCTTAGTCAGGGAATTTTTAGCCTACTCTACTTCATACATCTACTTATTTGCTTCCAGAATAAATGATGAATGTGATGTAATCCACTTGCTGTTGAAACAGTTGGGAAAAACCTTTTTTTTTATTATTATTATTTTATGAGACAGAGTCTCACTCTGTCTCCCACACTGGAATGCAGTGGTGCAATCTCAGCTCACCGCAACCTCCACTTCCTGGGCTCAAGTGATTCTTTTGCCTCACCCTCCTGAGTAGCTGGGACTACAGGTGTGTGCCACCACCCCTGGCTAATTTTTGTATTTTTTTAAAGTACAGACAAGGTTTTGCCATGTTGGCCAGGCTGGTCTCGAACTCCTGACCTCATGATCTGGCTGCCTCGGCCTCCCAAAGTGCTGGGATTACAGGCGTGAGCCACTGCACCCAGCTGGGAAAAACCTTTAGAAATGCCAAAGAGAAAACTTCTAAATTATAGCAATGTTTTTATGACCCAAGTGTATCCTTAGAAATCTCTTTAAGATTTGTATCTAAACATAAAAATAAACAGGCAAAAGCAACTAGAATAATAATGACTTCTACAGACCTATTACTTACCAAGGGAAGAATGGAATGTGGAAAAACTATGTGGCTAGTACTCAACGTGGACACAGCTTAAGATCTTTAACGCTTACCTCCATTTTTTCTTCTAATTCATGAAGGAATTCACCATCGGCAGCTATTGATGAAATGGCAGTGGAACTTTTCGCACTAAGAATGGCTCGAGCAATGTACTCCAATCGCTGCTGAAGTGAAATTTCTGTGCTAGAAGCGAAAACGCTTATTTTTAGTTACACAATTTCTTAAGGATTGAAGATACAAATATGTCAATTAGTATGTACTGTTTCATACCAAATGCACATTAAAGGCCATCTGAAACTTGAAAAAAAGCATTAGATTAAAAAAAAATCTATTTTAGATTTCTAATAAGAAAGATCCACAATTTTAGACAACACACAAAGAAATACTTTATGTCTAAAAAATAACATCCTATTTAAAAAATTTAGGTCAGTATATTAAAACTTAGATTCTTCTAAAATTAAGGAAAACTGAAGGTAAGTACATATAGCTCAGTTTTCAATCATTCTTCACAATGAAAATATGATGCCATACCTATGCATGTCAGCCAGTCTGGACAGTACACGAGCAGCATTACTGAAACTTCTATTCTTCTCGTAATACCGCCAGAGTAAATCCATATAACGAACTCTGTTTTGATCAACTTTGGCCATTCGGACTAGATGGGGCTCCAGAAATGGAGAAGCAACCTAGAAATTATATAGTTATTCAGAAAAATTTTCTAACCACCTACAGATAATGTCCCTGATAAGGAAAATACAATATTTTTAAGTCAACTACAACTTTGCCTTGTTTTATGAAAATAAGCAAAATTATAATCCAACAATAACAAAAGAGAGGACAAATTTTCTTATTATAAACAATTTTTGTTTTACCACAGTTAGCATAAGAGTTCCCAAAATAATTCTATTAGGTTGATAACAATAGTTTAGTAGGCTGGGCATGGCAGCTCATGTCTGTAATCCTAGCACTTTGGGAGGCCAAGGTGGGTAGATCACACGAGCTCAGGAGTTCAAGACCAGCCTGGGCAATATATGGCAAAACCATGTCTCTACAAAAAAATTAGCTGGGTGTGGTGGTGCGGGCCTACAGTTCTAGTTACTCAAGAGGTTGAGGTGGGAGAATCACCTGAGTCTAGGGAGGTCGAGGCTACAGTGAGCCATTATCATGCCATTGCACTGCACTCCAGCCTAAGCTACAGATTGAGACCCTGCCTCAAAAAAGAAAAGGAAATTTGGCTGGGCACGGTGGTTCATGCCTGCAATCCCAGCATCTTGGGAGGCTAAGGCAGGCAGATCACCTGAGCTCAGGAGTTTGAGACCAGCCTGGCCAATATGGTGAAACCCCGTCTCTACTAAAAAGATATAAAAATTAGCCGTGCGTGGTGGTGGGCACCTGTAATCCCAGCTACTTGGGAGGCTGAGGCAGGAGGATCGCTTGAACCCAGGAGGCGGAAGTTGCAGTGAGCCAAGATCGTGCCACTGCACTCCAGCCTGGGCGACAGAGTCAGACTCCATTTCAAAAAAAAAAAAAAAGGAAATTTACTACAAAATTACACATTTTAAAATAAACTTTGATAACACAGCTATCGATTCCTAGACACTGAGCTCAAAGGCATTATTGAAATTATCAAATGCTATGTATTCATTAAATAGACTGAGGAACACTGAGACTTAGGGAAGGTAAAAGGACGTATCTGAAGTCACATAGTGACTTAACGGCAGAGTTAAGATGACCTACAGGACTCATAATTCATAATCCAGTGATTTCTACCCCGCAATATAAACTATCCCAATCAGCTTCGAAATAACAAGAAAATTGGAGCAGTAGCCTACTTTGCCCCTTAGGAAAAGATATTGCATTACTCAGCTTTATACTAACATCTAATAGTAGACATGGGATGAGAAACTGAATTTTTTACATCTATGTACGTGCTCAAATCATTGAGTTATGCTCCTTAAGAATAATTAACACAACTGCAATAAAAAAAAGATTTACCTGTAGCAGCTTATCTGCAAGGTCAGCTTGTATTAGCCAATTATAAAGGGCAATACTAAAGAGCTCATCCTTGGATCGCTGTGACAATTTAAGCATTTGTTCAAACTAAAATAAAGAAAATAGTAAAAATTAGCAGTTAAAGGCTCTGTTTCTGGGCATCACAACCCTTTAGACCTATAAACTCCAGTAAGAAATCAAGAATCCTTATATGATAACTTCTAAGAACTACTACCTTTCCCCAAGATGACTGTGCCACCATTACCATGCAGAACTTCTGAACAGTGTATTCTCAGAATGAAAATATACTATGTCCCTTACATGATGTCCTGCTTCTTCATTACTCAGCATATTTGGATCAGATGACAATACTGGAGGACCAGGTTTTTTGGGTACACTGGGAGACTGAGGAGCGGCCTTACTTTGATTTACCAGTTCTTGAAGTGTGTCTGTAATGCACTTGTAACTGTTTAATCTGAAGGAGAATGGAAAAGGAACAATTACATTATTTAACTAGAAAGCAAATGATGGCAAGTGTGGTGACTCACGCCTGTAATGCCAGCCATAGGGCGGTCAAGGTAGGAGGAGGGCTTGAGGCTGGGAGTCCAAGACTAGCCAGGGCAACAGAGTGAGACCATGTCTCTACAAAAAATACAAAAAATTGACCGGGCACAGTGGCTCACAACTGTAATCCTAGCACTCTGGGAGACGAAGGCAGGGGGATTGCCAGAGGTCAGGAGTCCAAGACCAGTCTGGCCAACATGGTGAAACCCCGTATCTGCTAAACATACAAAAATTAGCCGGGCGTAGGGGTGCACGCCTGTAGTGCCAGTTATTCAGGAGACTGAGGCACAAGAATTGCTTGAACCTGGGAGGCAAAGGTTGAGGTGAGCTGAGATCATGCCACTGCACTCCATCCTGGGCGACAGCAAGACCCTGTCTCAAAAAACAAAAAAACAAAAAACAAAAAAACCAAACCAAAACAAAAAATTAACCAAGCGTGGTGGTATGCACCTGTAATCCCAGCTACTTGAGAGGCAGAGGCAGGAGGATCGCTTGAGCCCAGAAATGTAAGGCTGCAAGTGAGCTATTATCATGCCACTGCACTCCAACCCAGGCAACAGAATGAGGCCCTGTCTCAAAAACAAAAAACAAAACCCCCCAAAAACAAAACAAACAACAAAAAAAGAAAGCCATTGATTTACCTTACCTAATTTAAGTATATACAAGGATTTCAAGACTATTTGGCAGAATATATGTACATATTTGGCATTTAAAGTAACAGAAACCATATACTTTTTCAGTAAGTTTGAGAAGTGTTTGGTTAAACATAAAAGGGTAAAGTCATTAAATATAGTAATAAAAAAATATGTTTTCGCCAGATGTGGTGGCTGACACCTGTAATCTCAGCACTTTGGGAGGCTGAGAAGGAAGAATTGCTTGAGCCCAGGAGTTAAAGACCAGCCTGGGCTTATAGTGAGGCCCTGTCTCTACAGAAATTAAAGAGATAAAAAAATTAGCCGAGTGTGGTGACATGTGCCTGTAGTCCCAGCTACTCAGGAGGCTGAGGTGGGAAGATCACTGGATCACTTGAGCCCAAAAGGTCAAGGCTACAGTGAGCTATGATGCTGCCACTGAACTCCAGCCCAGGAGACAGAGGGAGGCTTTGTCTCAAAAACAAAAACAAAACAAAACAAAACACCCTCCATATATATATGTTATAGAAAGGTTATATATATTTCTTTTTTTTTTCCGAGACGGAGCCTTGCTCTGACACCCAGGCTGGAGTTCTGTGGTGCAATCTCAGCTCACTGCAACCTCTGCCTCCTGGATTCAAGCAATTCTCCTGCCTCAGCCTCCCAAGTTGCCAGGATCACAGGTGTGCACCACCATGCCTGGCTAATTTTTGTATTTTCAGTAGAGACAGGGTTTCACTATGATGGTCAGGCTGGTCTCAAACTCCTAACCTCATGATCTGCCCACCTCAGCCTCCCAAAGTGCTGGCATTACAGTTGTGAGCCACTGTGCCCGGCCTATATTTCTTTTAAGGACATACATTTCTCTTTTAACAGTCTCAACAAATTTGGGAATACATAAAAATTATCCTTTAAAATGAAACACTAGGCCAGATCACGCCTGTAATCCCAGAACTTTGGGAGGCCAAGGTGGGCAGATCATCTGAGGTCAGGAGTTTGAAACAAGCATGGCCAACATGGTGAAACCCTGTCTCCACTAAAAATACAAAAACTAGCCGGGCATGGTGGTGTGTGCCTGTAATCCCAGCTACTCAGAAGACTGAGGCCGGAAAATCGCTTGAACCCAGGAGGAGGAGGTTGCAGTGAGCTAAGATCCTGCCACTATACCCCAGCCTGGGTGACTAAAAAAAAAAAAAAAAAAAAAAAAGAGTTATAACCTATAACCTTAACCTATTAATATTCAGGCCTTTGATAAAACAAGAAGTCACTTTCAAGTAAAAGCAAAAGGATAATTCAATATTATAAGGGTTACACTTGAAATATTATTTCCCTAATATTGTCAATTAAACCTTTACACAAGGAGGCCAGACACGGTGGCTGATGGCTGTAATCCTAGCACTCTGCAAGACTGAGGTGGGTGGATCAATTGAGGTTAGGAGTTGAAGACCAGCCTGGTCAAAATGGTGAAACCCTGTCTCTACTAAAAATACAAAATTAGCCAGGCATGGTGGTGCGCACCTGTAATCCCAGCTACATGGGAGGCTGAGGCACGAGAATACCTTGAACTTGGGAGTCAGAGGTTGCAGTGAGCCAAGATCACACCACTGCACCCCAGCCCAGATGACAGGGCAAGACTCTGTCTCAAAAAATATATATAAATCAAAAAACAAAAAACTTTACGCAAAGAAAAGTCTGTATCCATAAATATGACAATCTGCTAAGGTAATGGAATGCACCTTTCTTGGAAGGCCTGAAGTCCAACTATATCTTCTTCTGGTTCTCCATGTTTATAGAAATGAAGTCCAAGACCTTGAGGATCTTTTTTCTCTGCAGCCGTAAGAGAAAGTTCCACCACACCCTCATAAAATCTCACTGATGAGAAAGAAAAGAATGAAGGCCTATGACTTACTACTAAGTTGGACACATTTTTCCTTAGCTGGCACATAAAAATCATGGTCAAGGTTATGTCTCTACTGTACAATAGTTACCCTGCTAACATAAAATATTTCTGATAGGTCTTCAGAAGAAAAAAGTCTTAACATGCCTAAAAGGCATCTGTTAAATATATTTCTTCATTGGGGGCTGGGTGTGTAATCCCAGCACTTTGCGAGGCTGAGGCGGGCAGATCACGAGGTCAGGAGTTCGAGACCAG